AAAAAAAAAGCCTTTGGGGGACACATCTGGATCTCTTGGTAACGTTTTCCCCTTGAGGCCCACTAACCAGAAAGTAGTATCAAAAAAAATGTACACGATCGTCCAGCATCTGGATAAAGTGAGAGAGCCGGTGTTTAGATGAATGGACAGCAGACGGAGGAGTGGGCCGCGATGGGTGGCCAAATCCTTTGAAACACAGTAGCCCTATTGTGTATCTAAGAGCTACTACATTCAAAGCGACCCATGGCTTGTGTGACTCTGTAAATATACATTCGCCTTTAAGCAAACAAGACATTTTGCCAGCTTTTATTTTTTTTCCCCCTGAAGGGCAGAAAGTAAGAGAGAAAGAGATGACCCCCCCGCCCCCCCCCCAAGTACCTGGAGAAACTTCTTTTGCAAATCTAACTTCTTTCCCCCGTGGCATTGTTTTTTAAAGTTGCGTGGCCCTGTGTGAATGAATGTGGGGTTATATCCCCAACACAGAGGCGTGCTGTCTGCGGCAGGCTCCTCTCTCTGCCTTGATTGGCAGAGCTTTCTGTCTCACCCCCATTCGAGAAGAAATACTGTTCGGATTCCGACACAAGATATACACTGAGTGGCCAGATTATGAGGACCACCCATCAGTACTTCGTTGACACTTCCCACAATACTAAATATTGAAAACTTCCTAAGCAAATACTCTCAAGGTTTTATTATTATTATTATTTGCATAACTAATTCACTTCATTGTACTGATGGGGTGGTCATCATAATCTGGCCACTCAGTGTATTACCCGTGGGATAAAGTGTCGCTTTTGTGATAAACGTGCGTGTGGAAGATCAAGGCTTTATGCAAGCCCACTGGTGAGCTACATTCCACGTGAATTAGGGGGCGCTGTACCAGGAACAATTTTATCAACTTAATGTTGCTTTTTTATTCCCCCCAAGCTTTTCCTACCGAGCATACAGAAGCACAGTGTCTGCAGAGATATCACTGTGACCTTCTGTTCTGCACAGCACTCAGTGCACACTGAGTAGTAACCTCTTTCAGAAGTTGGGGTGCAAGATTGGAAGGGCTGGAAACAAAGAGCCACCGTAGAACGGCAGGGGGCGCTCTAAGACCGGCTGCAATGTTGGCCGCACAGGGTGGAAGTCAGAGAGGCGGTCAGAACAGCTACCCTCCACCTCCCCCTGCTTTGCTCTGCTCTGCTTTTTTTTTAAAAAAAAAAAAACGTAGTGAAGGAAAAAGAAAAGAACCATCAGCAGAAACAAAGGGGTCCCGAGAAGCAAATCCCTGCAGCTGGAGAACTTAAAAAATCAGGGGACTCAAGTGAGAACCTCTGTGTCACAGGGTCCCCTTTTGGACGCCAGTCATTTTGCAGCTGTATAGGAAGACCCCCTGGCCCACAATGACATCATCACGGTCAGCAGAACTAAAGCTACTCCTCGGGCACCTTGCAGGGGTCTTGCTAACAAGCTCTGGCCCCCCACTTCCTGTCTCCGACAGGGGTGCCAAGGAGGGAATCGGGCTAAATGGTCTCTAAGCGCGAAGGTTATGTCTGTTCATAAAACCAGAAGTGAGAGATTAAGACAATAAACCAAAGAAGTCAACCCCAAAGCAAGATTCTTTAGTGCCAAATTTTGAGATAATTGAAGTGAAAAAACATGTGTTTGTGTGTGTGTATGTGTGTGTATATGTGTGTGTGTGTATATATGTGTGTGTATGTGTGTATATGTGTGTATGTGCGTATATATGTGTGTATGTGTGTATATGTATGTGTGTGTATGTGTGTATATGTACGTGTGTGTGTGTGTGTGTGTGTGTGTGTTTTATTTTTATATTCCTGGAGCCTCTATCAACAGATTTACAGGACTTTTTACTCTGTGGTCAAAATAGAGATGAACAGACTAGGAGCTGATTTCTTAATTGGCAGTTTTCTTTTTTGCTAATGGCCTATTTATGAGTTCACAGCAGTTTCTTCAATGAAATCAGACCTACAAAATATCGCTTGGTAAACGAACAGGTTACACTTGCATGTGCTCTTCTGTGCTCAGAATAAACTTTAAATTTTTTTTTTTTTTGGAGGAGGGATAGTCTCATTGAATTTTTCCTAATGAGAACCAGGTTCGCCCTCTAGAATGAAAAGGCAAATGTTAATCTGTGTCTCACTGATTGGCCTCAGTGATGGGCCAGAATAAGTGGACAGATGTACAACCGAGAGGGGAGAGATTGGAATGTGGGTAGTAAACTATCCTCAGACTCCCCCTGCGCTTGCATTAGGTTGAAACAGAGGTGTGAAGGCACGAGAGGCAGGAGGCGAGGAGAGAGCTAGCAAGGGCTCTCTCAGCCCGTGACCGTGACCGTGGGAGACAAAGCTCTCAGTTCTTGGTGGGGACTCCCCGCCCAGCAGGCGCAATGGAGAAAGAGCCAAGTTTGTCACATGAATATTACGCTTCAGGGGAAGACGAAGGCATTCTTTCAATGTGGATACGAGCTTGCCCCTTCCCTTAGGAAGTGTGCTACTCCACACCTCTACACTGGGAGGTCAGGGGGACCCACTTCCCCTTCAGCATTTGTGCCAACAATTTGATAAGTTCCTTGAAAGCATATTTTTTTTTTGAAATCTCTGCCCCCCCCCCCCCCACACACACACTCCCCAGTGCCTGCTTTGCAAGGGGACTTCTGCAAGAAGTGGGACTCAAAGCCTCGGTGGAGCTCAAAGCTCACATGAAATTCTTCCTCTTTAATGCATCATTGCAGCTACAGAAACAAACAAACCCAAATAAAAAAAAAAGGGCCTTGCATGAAGTCATCGCTTGGCTGCTGCGAGGTGCTGAGTCCCTTTCCAGCTCTCATGACTGGATGCTCACCACCAGTTTGATCGAGGCTGCTGGGAATGGGCTGTACCAGCTCGGAGCAGAGACCATGAAGCGCTTAGATCATTAAGCATGAATGTGCTAAGCACCGGGACTCAGATTTAGTGCGAGCCTTTGGCTGGTCCTGAGGTCTGGCCTTCTGAGTTTCAGAAACGATTTATTTATATGAATACTAATGCCACTTTCTCTTTGGGTCTCTTATGAAAAGAGTTCTGTACCAGGGCAGTATATAATTTCAGGGAATTCCTGAGTTTGAGGACAAGCAAAGGGCTTAGTTGGATCAGAACCATACGGAATCATATTTACAGTCATATGGATAGTGTTGCATTGGGAGGGTTTGCTTGTTGGGGTTGATGGGGATGCTGGTGGTGTCGGAGTGGGTGATCCAGCATAGGATGTGGCTGAAATCTGTGTTTTTCTAACTGTTGCTTAATCTCCCTGGCCTTTGATTCTTCATCTATAAAATGGGAGCTCTTTACATTGAGTTGACAGTTGAGTGAGGAAAAATATATGTAGGGGCCCTAGAACACAGTAGGCAATTTGTATTTTCTAAGATATGCACTGGAAAGCCCTCTTTCTCCCAAGTACTTTAAAAAAGGGACTTAGTTTTATTAAAAAATGTTTTTTTTAAATCTTTAAGGTTATTTAAATATTTATTATTTCTTTTTAAAAAAATAGATTTTTATTGATTTCAGAGAGGAAGGGAGAGGGAGAGAGGGATAGAAATATCAATGATGAGAGAATCATTGATTGGGTGCCTCCTGCATGCCCCACACTGAGGATTGAGCCCAGAGCTTGGGCATGTGCTCTAGTGAATAGAACCGTGACCTCCTGGTTCATGGGTCAACACTCAACTACTGAGCCATACCAGCTGGGCAGGACTTTGTTTTAGATGAAGATTGAGGTTCTCTGGAATTACTGGGTCAGAAACACTACTCATTAAAAAAAAAAAAAAAGAATGAAATTCTTTGTTTCCTCAAACTTTCAATTATTTGCCTTTTCTCTCTTTTCATGACCCTTCTCTCCTCAGAAATCCAGTTTCCAAATTATGTTTCCACACCACCTATTTCTTTAAAAATTCTTCATTCATACTTTTATAAGTGATAATAGTTCACTGTATTAATCTTCCTGGGAATACTTTATTATTAACGGATAGCAAATCTACTACAAAGAAATACAAGGGGAATGGGAATCTCAAGCCTTGGCCAACATGTGGAAATGCATTCTTTCAGGGTACTGGGGTCTTTTCACTTTTCTTGAAATTAAATTAATTGGTGGTAGGTAATGCATGAAATGTATCTATTACATCATCACGACTTTAAATAATTGAGCACACTAGTCAATTATCTAGAATGGCCATAGGAAAGAAACATAGATAGTCGCCATTCTTTTCCCCTCCTCCCCCCCCCCAAAAAATTGAAGTGATACATTTCTATAGGCCAAGAACCATTGGCTGGAGAGTCCAAAAGATTTGAGACAGAGTCCTTGGGCAGTGAGCTCACAGATTAGGGTACACAGAGCCACAGAGGAGCCCAAATGCACAAATAAACTGGAGGAAAAGTGGGCACGACCACAAGTGAGGTTATGGAGGGACCAGCCCTGACGACCAAGGTCTTCAGAAAGCACCTGCCTTCCTCTAGGGCCGTGGTTCTCAACCTTGGCTGCACATTAGAATCACCTGGGAATCTTTTTTTAAAATCCTGATTTCTGGGCCTCATCCTCCGGAAATTCTGTTGCTTTGTTACTACTGTTGTGGCCCCATCCCATCACAAAGAAACAGAATTTCTGGAGGATGAGGCCCTGAAATCAGGATTTTAAAAAGATTCCCAGTGATTCTAATGTGCAGCCAAGGTTGAGAACCACTGCGCTAGTGGTGAGAAGGCTGCACAGACCACGCCAGGTGTTCCCGGACAGCTGAGAAGTTCCTCCAGGGCCGTGCATCTGCTGATGGACAATGAACTGTGAGTGTCGTTTTAAGATGTGATCCAACCAGAATACTTTTTTTAAGCAGGAAATTCTCTTAAAACACGAGCACAATTATAGTCGGGGAATAATTGGCATGACCTGCGTATAACCCGGGGACTATTTATGAGTTTAAACTTTTTCACTGCCTAGGTGAATAGGGGAAAAGGCTTCTATTTCCACTCTTATATCCTGCATCCTGCTAATTGCAGGAAGAAGGTTCTACAGTTCACCATTAAAAGCAGCAAAGAAATCCTATCCGTGACATGAAACACAACGCCCAGCCCAGGTACAATTGAGCGACAGGCTCACAGGATCGTGGCCTTTACTTGAAGTTGTCAGCTGTGCTATGGTGGGGTAACTGGTCTGGAAGCTTCCGTTTCCCCCCTCTAAGCAGTAAGGCTGTTTCTGTTGTCTCATTTTATTTAATAACTAAGCCGTGATTAAATATAGTTTGTGGGCGACATTGTTATAAGTTGGCACTTATGCACTCTATGGTTTTGTGCTAAGAAATCTCAGTTAAGGAAAAACACTAGCAAGGAACTCCAGCAAATGTCCCTTCCTCAAAGCATGCGCCCTGGGTCTCATTGTGCTACTTCGTGACACCATAAGAAGCAAAGGGAAGAGGAGATAGTGAATAAGGTAGACCAGAAGAACCCAAAGTACCCTGGGATCCTCCTTGTAAAGTACTATGAACAACATTGCTTTATTTTGACCAGACAGATGGAACCTCTTAGAATTGACATTGCAGTCATTGTCAACTTTTTGTTGCTTTGTGTATTTTTTCCCCCAAATATCTTTTTATTGATTTTTTTAGAGAGAGAGTAAGGAAGAGGAAAGAGAGAGAGAGAGAGAAACATTAAAAGTGTGAGAGAAACATGGGTTGGTTGTCTTTCGTATGCACCCAAACTGGGGACCCAACCTACAACCTGGGCATGTGCTGGAGACCTTTCGGTGCAGGAGATGACTCAACCAACTGAGCCACACCAGCCAGGGCTGCTTTGTGTATTTTACTTAATAAAATGTTAAATATTAAACTTAAATTTTGTGTATACGTACAAGATTGTGAGATGTTTAATCTAGACAGAAGGTGTTACATATAGTTGGAGAGAGAGAACGTAGAGGTGGAATTGAAGAGAGCTAGCCTGGTAGGAAACACACAGACACATTTAAAAATATATATATATTTTATTGATTTTTTTACAGAGAGGAAGGGAGAGGGATAGAGAGTTAGAAACATTGATGAGAAACATCGATCAGCTGCCTCCTGCACACCCTCTAATGGGGATGTGCCTGCAACCAAGGTACATGCCCTTGACTGGAATCAAACCTGGGACCTTTCAGTCTGCAGGCTGATGCTCTATCCACTGAGCCAAACCAGTCAGGGCACACATTTGGTTACAAACTTATAGGCCACTGTCTTCGTGGTTGCACGGACTTGCTGAGTCAGTGGACTTCTGTTCAGATGCCCAAATGAGGAGCATGGGCAGTAACATCTGTAACTGATGATTTTTTCTGTTGTCTTCAAATAGGACTCAAGGCTGAGGACAAAGAGACAGTAAGCACTTCACATCCTGCAACGAAAAACCAACCAACAGGTGGGACCAGAGACCTTCTTCAGGGATTCTAGATGCTGCTGCTTCCCTCTCGTGGCTCTACAGGTAACCTTGTGATTTCAAGGTCATTCTGCCAAGACATGTCACTGCTACTCATATGTCATTGGCCAGAGCATGTCACATGGTCAGCCTAATTGTAAGGAGCCTGAGAAATGTAGAAGAGTACATGGGAATTTGTGAGAATCAATAGTCATTGACCATTAAGTTATGGATCTTCATTATAATAATCCGACACAAATTGTGTTTTAGGACATTACTAACACCATGTTATCTATGATTGATTCACTTATTCACTTTTTTCACAACGTACTATTGGAACGATGGTAGGTACTATGGAAGCTACAAGAAGATACGGGGTGCACCCCAAGGCTTCCTTTCATAGTCTCTTCCCTGTGGTTCTTCCTCCTGTCAACCTCACACTACAGCTGTAATTCCATAAACTAGCCAGAGGGACGCCTGAATAATGGGGGAGATGAATCACCTTTTCTGAAGAGAAAGTAGCTGTATAGTGCCTTCCGGGTGAGCTCTCCAAACTGGGAAAATTAGAGCCTGGGTTTGAGCAAGCAGCAGATTTTTGTGTCCATTGCTTAAATTCCATTTTAAAAATCTCTCCTTGATTTCTCCACTTTATTTTTATTAATTTTATTTTTTTAATTTATTAAATGTATTGGGGTGGCATTGGTCAACATGAACATACAGATTTCAGGTGTGGGTTTCCATGTTCCAAGATCTATATGTTGCATCATTTGCCCACCACCCAATTCTCCCCTTTATTTTTTTAAATTTGAGGATGAAGCTTGAAGCCTAAATTTTGCATGTAAAAGTCACCCAGCGGTCAAACAGGTCAAAGGCACAGGTTTGAGCTTCCAGTCTTCCTGAGTTGAAGATGCCACCATAAGAGTGAGAAGGCTTAATGAGTTACTCAGTTCCCAGCTCTCTGCTCAGTGTTCAGTGGTAACCTAAACCCAGGGGAACCACGGAGACCTGCACTCAGCTTTTCCATCACTGATATTTCTGGTGCCTGAAACAAAATAAATATTTTTGGGGAGAGCAAATTCCAGGACTGAAGATGGCCAAGGGAGGGCTGGCTCCGTGGAGTAGGAGCCAAGGCATCCAGGCTAATGAAATGGATGGGCTCTGTAGGAGGCCAGTGAGAGGGAAGCTCTGAATGAGATCATTACTTAAAGAAAGTGTGGTTTGGCCGAGGAGCCAGAGCTGTGCTCCCTAGAGAGATGTGAGAATTGGAGCCTTGGGGAGCCATGGGTCACTTCTCAGATGACCATCTTGATTGTAGTCGCTGTTGAAGTTCTACTTCCAACAAATACCAATGACACATGTTCAGAAAGTAAGGAGGCTGTCTGTCTATATTGAATATAGGTGAAACATAGTATAATAAACACTATTGCCAAATATGGGTCAAAAGGCTCTGTCCAGTGCTCTCAGCATTTAGCATGTTGGCCCACACAATGAAAGGTTGCGGGTTCCATTTCCAGTGAAGGGCACATACTTGGGTTGCAGGTTCAATCCTGGCCCCAGTCAGGGTGCGTGCGGGAGGTAACCAATGGATGTGTCCCTCTCACACTGATGTTTCTTTCTCTCTTCCTCTCCCTCCCTCCCTTCCACTCTCTCTAGTTTTCGGGTTGTTTATGGTGCAGGCAGAGATAACTGATAGAGTCGCTTCAGAAATAAGATGTGTCTTCTGAAACCCGTCTTTGGAGAACAGGTGTTTCCTTGTGCTGTCTTCACTAATACATGACTCCTTCAGACACTTGGTTGTGAGAACAAATGGTTTCCCCCCTTTCTTCTGAAGAAGATGGGTTCCCAAATATTTATTAGGGTGATGTCCATATCCCTACGATAACCAGCTATAATTGATGTTTCTGGGCAAGGTTTTACTCGACTTCTCGTTCTTGTACCTGCCTTGTGATGTCCGTGCTTGTGTTGTGGTGGGATAGTTCCAGGTGAAATGATTCCGGTTCAGAAGTGCGGGAAAGATGTTTCTAGAATTATTCCAGGGGCTGCGTCAATTCTTACTTAGTAGAATTACAAAAGACTTCCAGATTTCAAGTCCAATAGTGCTTGACCCCCTACAATAATCCACCCTCATGCCTACCTTTAATCTCATTGCTCTTCTAAGGAGACCAAGGACCAAACAGGTCAGCCCCACGTGACCTCTGTTGTTTTAACTTTTAAAGCTCCTCGTAATGTTGGCAAGCAAGTCAGAGCTCGTCACTTCCCCTTTGATTGCAAAACACACAGAAGTTTGCTTCTGACTAGATTATTGTTTTTCCATACACAAGTGGCTTTTCTTTGCAAACTGTGCTCAAGGCAAGTATCCAACCCCAACCAAACCCTCGTGCTATTATATCCATGGTTCTTCCCCGGGAGAACCATTTAATATACACAACCAGGCAAGACCAGAAGGTTTCTCGCACGATCGTTGCCAACCTGGTTGCAACGTATTTATTAGCCAAGTGACATTTGTGTAAGAGTAAGTTGAGACTAACTATCCAGTGGTCGGCAAACTCATTAGTCAACAGAGCCAAATATCAACAGTACCACGATTGAAATTTCTTTTGAGAGCCAGATTTTTTAAACTGAAACTATACAGGTAGGCACATTGTTATGAACTTAATGAGGGTACTCCTAAGGCTTAGGAAGAGCCACACTCAAGGGGCCCAAGAGCCGCGTGTGGCTCGCGAGCCGCAGTTTGCCGGCCACGGAACTAGGCTATGTCAGGGAAACACTGCATTACCTGTGTTATAAATGCATTTCGTCTTATCCCTCATAATCAAGCTTTTTATTCTAATAGACCTAATCTGTAAACATATATAATCTAGTCATTTCTACGCTCACTGATACTGGAACAATGGCCTATTTTAGGTTTGGAATCATCCATTATCACTTTTATTATGGACCAGCTGAAGAGATTCTTTGGATTTATCATTTGATATTTAATCCCAGCGTTTGACTTCAGTCCTTGGCAGGTTGTGGTAGAAATGATGATATATTGATACTTTTTTGGCCATTTTTTTTTACATTTCTACTGTTGGTCACAGCTCTGGCCTCTTCCTGGCTGATGGTACCAAGGGTCCTGGCTACTGAGAAGTGGTTCTTTCCAGTAGGATCCTGTTGTCATCTCTTCTTTTTCCAGGAATGGAGATGAATTCACCCTGAGAGGTCACTTAGAGGCGGGTCTTCTACTTAACGTTATTGTACTAATCAACACGACGTCCCTTGGCAGTCATCCGAAGAGTGTTCATCAACTGTGATTTTTAGCCCCAGAAAACTTGCCTCCCTGGAATTCATGTTCCAGGAAGAACAGAACTTCCAGTTCTGAATGGATGATCCCGCTTGCAGTCAACACATCATGGCTTTAAGTAATTCTGAAAATATTTAAGTTGTATGCATCCAACCCTCACACAATCATATTGCTCTCAGAGACAAATGCCAATCTCTTACTGTATGTCCTGTGGTAGGGTTATTCCTGGAAGATCCTTGGCCCCATCTTAGAGTGGTATTTCTTACATTCTGATGTCCATAATGAAGATGTCCTTAAAAAAAAAAAGAAGAAGAAAACCTACAGCAATATGTCTAGGCCAGTGGTTGGCAAACTGTGGCTTGCAAGACACATGCGGCTCTTGGGCCCCTTGAGTGTGACTCTTCCACAAAATACCACATGCGGGCGTGCATGTACAGTGCGATTGAAACTTCGTAGCCCATACGCAGAAGTTAGTATTTTGTGGAAGAGCCACACTCAAGGGGCCAAAGAGCCACATGTGACTCGTGAGCCGCAGTTTGCCGACCACTGGTCTAGACCTATAGCTGTCACCTAATATCTTCATGCAAATATGACCCAAGTAATGGATCAATGCTATTTCTGTTCCTATAATCTTTGATGAATACTAGTAGGCCTGGCCCAATTTTGCAAAGATTGTAAAATTCAGACTTAAGATATTCTAAGGGAAGAATTATTGTGATTCTCTCCTTATCTATAACACAAAGCCCTTTCCAACTACTTGATGGTATAGGAAGATCATTACAAGGGCTCACCAACAGAATAAGATGTTTAGGCTCACTGACTTGGAATTCACGATCGGCTTTGGTGGGTATTATGAGTATGACCTGACTAGAATCATCCAACTTTTCCTGGTTGGTATCTCTGTTAATCTAAAGGTCCTCAGAACTTGATGGTTCCTCAAAGGGCTCCAGGTCCCACTTGACCCACAGGTGACAGGGTGGGGCCAGCGTGTTGAGAATGTCTGTGTAATGCCCAGTGACTGATTAGGGAGATGGTCTTTGTCAGTGATGGCGAACCTATGACACGCGTGTCAGAGGTGACACGCGAACTCATTTTTTTGGTTGATTTTTCTTTGTTAAATGGCATTTAAATATATAAAATAAATATCAAAAATATAAGTCTTTGTTTTACTATGGTTGCAAATATCAAAAAATTTCTAGATGTGACACGGCACCAGAGTTAAGTTAGGGTTTTTCAAAATGCTGACACGCCGAGCTCGCTGGTCTATGTCGTCACAGCTTCTAACAGTAGACTCTCAGTGTCTGGTTGCTATGGGGCTTAAAAGCAATACCTGTGTTTGTGTCTGAGGACTCCTGTGTTGCTTAGTGCCACTGAAAAAAAATGACTTAACTCATTGCTAAACTATAGTACAGATTAGAGCATGATAATAGGGGTTTATAACAGGGTGACTAACAATTGGTATATTTTTAAGAAGAGTGTAAATTCCTAAGATGAACTTATGTACTTTTGTTAATAATTTCAGGAGTAAGTTATTGTTCTAGCCCAGTGATTCTCTAGGGTATACTTGGCAGTGTCTGGCAGAGTTTTTGTCACAACTGGGAGGTGCTACTGGCATCTAGTAGGTAGAGGCCAGAGATACTGCTAAACATCCTACTACGCCCAGGACAGCTTCCGTCCCAACAAAAATTACCTTGTCCAGAAAGTCAGTGACGTCACAGATGAGAAACACCTCATTAGGCTGTTTTGGGGGCGTGGCCACAGGAAACTCCACCATCCAAGGGGA